TCTAATAAACAACCAAAAAAAATCTTCGGTTTATCATGTTTCCTTGGACTGTATTTGCAGTTGTTCTAGAGCTGTATATGTCAGGAAACATGCTTGCTGTGCCTCTGACTGCAAGAAAAAGTGATCCAATAAGATTTGGCCCACACTAGGGAACAAGATGGAGAATATTTCCAGTAACAGGTTGTGGAATGGAGGAGATTTGTCTTTAAATCACAGGCTTTTTTACTGCCAGATATTATAATTATTTTGCCTGAAAACACAGAATGAAAGTTGGAAAATCAGAAAATATTGGTAAATATAAGGGCTGGAGGACAAAATGTGACTCATAAAATGAAGATCAAAATGTGCCTAAACCTCTTTCTATGCTGCTACTCATGCCCATTTTAATAGGGCAAAGCAAAGGAACAGAATTGCGCGACTGGTTTAAGTTGTAATATAAATGTTAACATCAGTGAGTCAAAATCACCCATAAACATAGTTCTGGACTGTAAATATTGTAATCAGGAATATGGTCATGGTGTTTTATATAAATTAAGTAGGGCTCTTGCCCTGAGGGGTCCAGAAAAAAGCAGTAAACTAGAAATTTAAATTGGTTGCCATGGGTATCAAGTTGAGGTGCCTGAAAACAGCATATCCATTTCTCCTAGCTCCTCAGTTTTCTTGACCTTTCAGTTCTTTCTTGGCATGTTCCAAATTGTTATAAATAAAATCCTTATGAGGGCACTGGCAGTTGGTTAGCAAAACTCGTTATGGCAGCTTTCTACATTCAGCTATTAAAGCAATAATAGTGAGGACCGAAATGGGAGAAGATAATTGTGAGCTTTAGGAATGGTTGTCCTAAAGTCACAGCTGTCCAGTGACTGTCCTGGGATGCCAGGTGAGCTACACTGTTTGGCTCCAAGGCACAGAACCCTGTGGGCAGACCTCCCTGGCACATCACTGTTGCACTCCTGAACAAAGGAACCTTGCAGCCAGGGAGCTCTCCTCCCACAACTGTTTTACCCAAATCTTAAAAACCAGTCTGTGATTCATTATGGGTGAGATTTGCTGCCTGAACCCTGGCTGGGAGAATGGCTGTTTTCCTCAAAGGGTACAATGCCATTCAGCATGGAGAGGGTAGCAGAATTTGGATGCATGAAGTAGTTAAAACAATTGTAGTCTTCTGAAAATTCCCACTAACATTCAGATTATTGAGTTATTTTTTAATTTCTACTATATATTGAATGGGCACTAATGCAGAAGATTTTGTCCACAGTGTGTGTCTCATTTGGCAGCTTTAAAGACTATTGCATTTAAAGATGCTGTATAGATACTATTTCACATGCCTATTATCAACCTGTTAAATATATTGAGGAGGATAATGAAATTAAATCCACCTCTGGCTTTTGTGACATAATCTTCTTCAAATGAACTGAATGCCAACTTTGCCTCATTTCCTTCAGCCTTTCTGTATTTCTGTTCTGTGAAACCTCACCATTAGCATTCTGAAAGTGTTGATTCTCTTATTACTTCCCACTTCAGTCTTTTCAAGGTGAAATCTCTCTACTAATTCAAAAAACTTTCTGTCACCATTATGTAGAAATTACTTTGCCCAAATACTAAAAAACCTAAATGGAAGATAAAGCCTAGCCGCATTTTATGCTAGGATAATAAATGCAGGGGATAAAAGGGGTAAGGAAGGAAGCATAAGCACTTAACTTTATATTTCAAGGGTCTTTTTGGGGGCAGGGACTGAAGGTTACTTTCTAGGAAGATACAAATCTAAGGAGTTTAGAACTTTTTCTATAAATAATTTTTCTCCTGGATCTGGGCATTTAAAAAAATACCATAATCATCCTTTAAATAACCATGTTTCCAAATGAACATAGTAGTGGAGAGAAATGTTCTTTTCTTAAGTGGCTTGGAAGTATATCAGGGAATAATTCTTGCACAGCTAACATTTTTTCATATTCATGAAATATTTTGCTCAGTAAAGTTGCTCAGTAAGAAAGACTGTCTATACTACACTGATATATTCAAGTTATTCTGATGCCTTTCTCCCCATCTCATGAATTACTTCATGGATTACCAGCTTGATCAGTGAGACCGTAATAATGATGAATACATCTGTTTATTTGTAGAACCAATATCAACTATTTTTAAATTAGGGAGTTAATTGATGGATGCCATCTCTATGTTCTACGTGTTTAATAGAATCTTCCTTACTGTTTATTATTATCAGACAAAGAAAAAGCTGGACCAGTGCAGAGTCCAGGTCTGCTGGATGCTGATGTTGCTGTACTGGCAATTAATGTGGCTGTGAATACAGTAGACTGGACTTTTTCTTTAATGACATTCAATTTGGACCCTGTCAGGAAGGCTGTACATTTTGCTTAGTATGTACATTTAAGCTCCCAATTTCTGATAGCTGCAGGAATACAGACTAAAATCAAATCACTGCATTTAATGACCTCAGTGAGTTTAATATAGCCTTGCTTTCCACCAGCCACAAATAATCAAATAACCAGCACGAGTGAATTACTGAATCCACAGCATATATGACAGCATGGTAGAAGTTTTTTGAGTGGCTCTGTTGCTCATTCTACTAGTTACCAGCTGACTGGATGGGAATTTTCTTGAATGAATGAATGAATATTTTCTTGACTGAGTATCTCCACAGGTGATGATTGTAGAAGGTGGTGATAGCCTTAGATGCGGAGCAGATTGGGGAGGAAGAACAACATCTAAATGAGGAGGACAAATGGGGAGAAAGAGGGCATATAAGAGTGCTGAAGTGGACTTAGTATTTTATTGTTGTACCAAGTGTTGTTCATTACATTCAATAGAATTTCATTTAGAGTATCAACTGAATGGCTGTGATGTCACTGGTTTGGCAGCAGGTACTACCTGTGGAGCCTTTATAGCCTCAGTTGTACTCTCTTTAAAATTCAGTGCAGGTATAGGCTGCTTTAGTTTCTTTTTCTAGCTATCAAAAATGCATTCAGAAGTGGAAAAAATGTAAGATTCCCAATATTTCTTGATAATAGAAGCTTTGACCATAAATGTTTATCTTTCATAATATTTATAAAATGCATGGGGCAAATTATGTCTGCAAATGTTTATGGGTCTCAAAGATGCAAATTCATACACTTTCTGTTTATCAATACATTTTACAATTTAAACCTGAGTATTTTATTGTTCTGATCAAATATAGAAAATTAAAATTAGACAATATGTTAATATATTGATTATTGATTTGCTTTGTGATCTTAAGTAATTTGGCTATTTTATGGGCCAGATTCAAACTGGATATTAATGGAAACCAGCTCTTACACTTGCTTGCTTTATTTTTCATAGAAAATAATCTTTTCCTTCAGTTTCTCCTCTCCTGAAACCCTGAAGTTCTATAGGACTCCAGATAGGTTTTGTGCAATCTGCTAAAATTAGCTCGTTTTAACTTTCAAAACACTGTGCCCTTACCTGACATGTTGGGTACAATTGAGGCTTCAAATTGCCAAATTCCCACTGACAGACAGGGTGGGTGACCTACCTTTGCACACAGGCTGCAACAGCCAATAAAAAGAGCAATGACAAAAATACATGGTAGAGGAGAGTGGGGTCACTGGTTATATATAGCAAGAGTCACTCCAAAAATAGAGTAGTATTTGGAGGTGAGTAACCTTAGACTATTTCAGGGCTCTTTTTTTCTTCTTTTTTTTTTTTTTTTTAATCTCTCAGAAGTGGAAGGATATTGCTGAATAAGGAATCTCCAACCCCATTTACTTTCTAGCTGGCAAATCATGGATACTTGAAATCAATTTAAATGTCCTTCAGTGAATATAGCTTATCGCACAGGCCCATTAATTAATTTGTTTTTCCATTGTGTAATTTTGTATGATGGTTGGTTGTAATACGGCAACAAAACTGGATCTTCAGAGATTCATTGTTCTGTAATAGTTTGGAAAATTAAGTGTCTAGTATATAGAGCTATTAACTTAAAACATTTTTTCCTACATGTGTGCAATGAAAAAATAGTCTCTGAATAATGAATATCATTCCTGTATTTGACTGATATCTGAAAGTATTTTTGAAGAACTTTGATTATCTTGTCTAAAGTACCTCTTGTGTGTTTTCTGACTCCTTCCTGCTCAACATATGCTGTAGGGCATTTTGAAATGAAGGTGAGTGAAACTGATACAACCCATAAAAATAGATGAATGGTATTAAGCCATTTGATTTATCCATGTAATCATGAGCTGTGGTATTCCTTGGGCCTCCACATCGTTCTTTCACGTAAACATGTTACCCTGTGGCTGGATTCAGTAAACACTTCCCCAGAGCTTTTCACTGGCCATGGAGATGGTTGGTACAGCATTCAAGCAGACCTGCTTTCCCTGGACTCTGTACAGCTTCAGGAGCCTATTGGAGCTTTTACTTACCATAGCCTCTGGACTACTGGAGGGAGATAGTCCTCTCATCTGCAGTTACTGGAAACCATGATGCCTCCAGCTGCAGGTGTCTGGGAACCTGCAGATCACTTCCAGCTTGATCATTCTCATTCTGCACTCTCCTGAGCAATTACTGCAATGCAGAGCTGACAGTATAGTTCCTGAGACAATATGTGCACAGTCTTATGTCTCCAGTTATTCAGGAAAAAAAATTGTAACCCCTTCAGTAGCCAGATGGAAATTTTGAAACTGTTTATTCCATGCCATAGAACCCATGATGTCATTTAGCTTTCACTATGCTGAAAACAAATCCAGAGGCTCCTCTACATGTTCCCCCTCTGCTTTATTGTTTTTGAGATGGAAGGGTAATTGTTCTTGGCAAGGGTGACTGGATTACAGCTGCCTTTGACTTCCAGGTTTTTTTAGTGCCATCATGGTGGCTAAATATGTGCAGAACACTGTGACACAGTGGGGAAAATGGGATTTAATTTCTTTGAAATTAGAAAAAAATGTGATTCTTTCCCTTGGAAGACAATTGCCAGAAAACCAAATCGATTCTATTTTATTTTTAAGACTTGGAAGGTTTTGATTCTGTAATACCAATTGCTGAGAAGCTTAATCATCCAACTACAACCAGACCAAAAGCTACTGGCAGGCGACCACCCTCCCAGTCTCTCACATCTGTAAGTTAATTTTCCTTTTCTTTGAAAACTATTTTTAAAAATATTTTTTCTGAATTCCCCCCCTGGCTCCTACCTGTGTTCCTTGGTGCTTTTACTACTTTTACCCATCTGTTCCTTCACACGTACAATGAGGCAGAGAGATGCAGATCAGGAAAAATACTGTCAAAAGACTGCCAGTGTTTTGAATACTGATGTTTAAAACATTCCCTTCCTTCTAAGGTTTATACCCCCTTATTTGAGTGCTGCCAAGTGTTCCTTGCCAGCCATGACTGAGCCCATAAAAATCCCTTATAAAAGTCTTTGGAATAGACTAATTTGTGCAAAGTGTTGAGGATTTTGAAAGTGTTTCCCAAAAGAAGCATTTCTCTTGGTTTTTTGCGGACATTTACAAGATTTTGAGGACAAATAGACCACTCAGTCTTCAACAGCCCTCCTTGAACTATCATGTGTTTCTTCTCATTAAGGTCACAGCTGTAAATACAGGGTGATTTAAGTTTCACTCTCTAATATCTATCTTTGGACAAGTTGGTCTCATAAACAATACTTTGGAAAACACTGCTTAGTTTTTCAATGTCTTCTCCTTTGGTGTTTGGGGTTGGTTTGTTTCCATGCTTTTTTGTGTTCTGGAATATCAGAATGAAAGCAACTACTGATGTTTACCTGGGTCTATGCTGCTGAAGCGGAAGGAAGCTAAAAGGATTATTGAAAAGCTAATAGAACTCAAAGAAAGAGAATGCTTTCAAAATTGACTGCTGTCATGAGTACAGAAATATAAAAGAGCATTATAGAGGTTTTCCTTCCCCTGTCACACCTATGAAGAAAGGATCAAGGGGTGGAAAGAACCTTTTCATACCTTTACCAAGAGGCTGTGCACAAGGCAGCCCTGCAGTACCAGCACCAGGCACTGGCAATGGCTGGGGCCTCTGAAGAGCAGCAGGGTGAGACCTGCTCTTCACAGAGCCGCGGCAGAGCCGCCCCGGTGACACAGCTGGCATCCCCACGGCACAGCGCTCAGACCGGGACAGGAGGTGGCCTTCGTCTTGTGATATCATGCAGTGCAAAGCTGCAAATAAATGTAGAATTCAACTCTTAAGAATATCTTATTTCTTGAATGCTTTGAAAGCAATCTAGCTCTGAAAATAAGATGCAAAAAGGGGGAGTAGGGGGACAAAGAGTCCTGATTTTAAGTATTGTTACTTTGAAAATGATAGCTAAAAAAGTTCTTGTACAATGAAAGTTTCTGTGCTTTTCTTTTTCTTCTTTTGTGGTGTGTGTTTGCCTACACAGTCATCCCTTTCAAGCCCTGATTTCTTTGACTCACCAAGTCCTGAAGATGAGAAAGAAGAACATGTTTCCATTACTCACAAAACTCTTGAAGTGTCAAGGAAATCAAGAACTGTTACAATATCACAAGTAAGTTAATTGGAATGCCTCTGCATAACCTTATCACATGCATCTCCTTTTTTTAAAGCAGTACTGAAATATTTAAAATTTAATTCAAGAGTCACCTGGTAACTGCCCACTTAAAGAAGCTTAAAATGATAAAAGTTACTAAAGATTGTTCTGTGTTTGAAAGGCAAGTCTAAAGTGAATTGCACAGTTAAAATGTCTCAAATAACCATACTGTGAAAAAAATCCTTGTGTAAATGCATTTGACAGAATCAGAGAGGCTGGGAAATAAATTTTAGAAAATAAGATCCTGTCTTTTTGCAACTTTAAATTGCATTTACATTAGAAGAGTCTGTGAGCAGAGTAAATACAACTCTTTGACACATTATAATAATATGTGAATTTAAATTTGCAAATATAATCTCTTTTTATACTGGTATAATTGTATTAATTTTTTAGGCTTGTGTCATTATTACTGTGTATTGGTAGACTATTACAGTGGAATCAAATATTACAGAAGGAGCATGTAGGTCAGGCTTTAAAGGTTGGAACTATTTTTTAGTACATAAGGATACCTTTAATAATTAAAATACTACATTCTAATAGTTTAACAAGTATTTGAAAGATGAAGTCATGCACGTCTGTGATCAGGTTATAAGGATAATGTTTTGCTATGTAGCTCCCTCTTCTGGGAGTACTTGCACCAAGAAATACTGCTGGGCCAACTAAGTTATATGACAAAACTGTAGATGTTGTTCCTGTAAAATGAGATGGCTGTGATTAGAAAGCAGCTGCTTGAAGCTGTAATGCTGATAGCCAGTTAAGCTCTGGAATAAGATGCTGTGATCAATGACTCCAGTTGTGCCTCGCTTGCCTGCTCCAGATTTAAACTCAGCCAGAAATCTCTTTTCAGCCTGAAGGAAACTTGCACCTACTGATACACAGGGTTATTATCCATGAAAGATCTGTTTAGAGGTACACATTACTCACACCCTATCTGCTCTGGTGAGACCCCACCTGGAGTGCTACATCCAGCTCTGAGGTCTCCAACACAGGAAGGACATGGACCTGTTGGATCAAGTCCAGAGGAGACCACTGAGATGATCAGAGGGATGGAGTACCTCTCCTATGAGGAGAGGCTGAGAGAAATGGGTTTGTTTGGCTTGGAAAAGGGATGGTTTTGAGGTGACCTAATTGTGGCCTTCCAGTACCTGAAGTGAGCTGACAAGATGGAGAGGGATTTACAAGAGCATGGAGTGATAGGAGAGGATGACGGAATGGTTTCAAACTGAAAGAGAGTAGATTTAGATTAGATATTAGGAAAGAAATTCTTTACTGTGAGGGTGGCAAGGCACTGGAACGGGTGCCAAAATAGAGAAGTTGTTTATGCCCCATCCCTGGAAATGTTCAAGACCAGGCTGGATGGGGCATGGAGCAACCTGGTGTAGTGAAAGGTGACAGGCATCCAAATCTCGATGGCAGGGAGATTGGAACTAAGGAACCTTTAAGGTCCCTTACAACCCAGATACACAAACTAATTGATACAATGTTAAAAGAATATTATTCAGGTCATTGAGTCAAGTGTTCAAGGCACTACAGTGATTCAGCTTATTTGTGATTATAATGCCATTTTTATTTATATTTATGGTCAGACTTGTTTTTTGTGCAGAACACTTGTTGAATTCAGTGTTTTCCCAGATCAGGTTCTGTGCTCAATCATGACTATACAGTAGGAAAGACTGGTTTTTGCAGAACTCGGTGGATCCTACTCTTCTCCTCCCATATTTTTTCCTGATTTTCACCTCATCACTAACTTTTCTCTTAGTTACTTTGTTCAGCTAATGCTACCCTGCCAGTCTCTAAGTCTGCACTCACAGTCTCTCCTTCCATTTCCATACCATTTATTCTCAGTATTTTGCCCTTTTCGCTATTCAACTTCAATATCTCTTTTCCAAAGAGAGCTGGAAGGTTGCCTAGTGCTTTTTCTTACTCTTGTCCAAATCAGATTTTCAAACATTCCTGGTAGTTGTCGTGTAATGCACACATAGCACTGCCAAATAACAGTGTGAAGATTCCCCTTACTTGCCATTGTGATAACTGTAATTGTTCACTGTTCTCTGTAAGCAGTGAAGTAGATGGTCATGTATGGTTGTTAAACTTCAGATTTTCTAATTGTCTAGTAAGTATAAAATGTTATATTATATTACATTATGTAGCACATATGAATAGAGGCTTGTCTAATAAGTAGAGCACTGGATCACAGTTAAGAAGCATGGAATCCTTTTTAGCTAACCACATGATTCCGCGGTTATAGGTTAACGGTGTGTTTTTCTGTCAAGTTCCTGGAGGAATAAAGAGCCTTTCATAGTTATGGAAGCTTTGATTGAACACAGGACAGTACACCACATTTATTTATTATTAATATATTATCATTTTGAAGCCATGAGATTTCTTTTTCTATATATAGCATACCAACAAGTGAGTCTAATGAATATTTTTCTATTTTCATAATGCTTGGGGGAACATGTAATACATTTTTTAATTTTTGAAAAACCTTGGAAGATTACTTCAGTACTTGGTGGGAAATTATAAATTTAATTTACAAAAAAATACAACTTTGATTCTTGGCCATGTAGTTTTGTGCTCTGTGGGAGACATCCCATGGATACAGATGTGTTCTCACAAACATCTGAGAGAAACGCTGAGCATCTATCCCTGGTTTAATTCACTGCTAGGTCTGAGATCTTGGAAATGCTGTTGCTGAATTTTTGCATCACAACTAGACCCCCTTTGATGTACATGTACAAAGATGATGATGCTATATTTATTGTGCTTTTGCAAAGACTGTCCACATCTGACTGTTGGAATTTCAGCATTACTGAAGAGAAGCTAAATACTTAGCATTGGTTAGAGGCCTAATTTTCATAAAGCTTTCTGCAGACATTAAATGTTATTCTTTTTGTTGCAGGTGTCTGATAACAAAACTTCCTTGCCTCCAAAACCTGGAGGTCTGGCTACTGGCAGTAATGTACAACCATCACTATCCCCTTCACCATCACCTGGATTTCACTCAATTGCTATGGGAACAACAGGCCACAGGTCAAATTCCCCATCCCTGTTTGGTACTGAAGGAAAGCCAAAGACTGAGCACTTGAGCCAAGGTCAGACTGCCCTGGAAGAGCTGAGAACACAAATTAGGGAGCTAAGAACCATCATTGAAACCATGAAAGACCAGCAAAAGTAAGTACTGCAAATCACAGCTGTAGGTTGGATGGATCCATTTGTGCATAGCGATGGCAGTTTCTGATTGAGTTTGCCTTCATGGATATTACTCTGCACAGCTGGCCTATGTCTTTGTGAGTGATTTTCATGTGACAGAACATATTCAGGAGTGAGAACATCTGCAAAAAAAACCTGCACTATCCGCCAGCTTTTTTTTTCCTGTGTTATGACACAAGTAGATGTTTATGGGGTGTTAAAAAAGTTAAGTTGCAAGCTATAAGCAGTAATGTTGTTTTATTTGTCAATAACTAACTGGGAACTCATATGCATAATAAAAGGGGTGCGTTCATTATAGTTGTAGTACAAATTGCTACAAGCTTCTAAAGTTATTAATTTGTTATTTGACTGTAAGTATATTTTCCCAGGAAGCTCATGTTACAAAAGTAGTAATTGAATTGCGACTAGGTCATCTGAAGGCCTTTGTGTTTATCGCCCTGAATCTTACTATTTTAGCTTTGGGCGCCTTTGTTTTCTTTAAATTGCTCATTTCTTAGGACAAACTGGGGCTGGCATGTAACTTTTGATGTTCCTGAGAATATTTAATGCTTTGGAAGCTAAACCTTCACTTACATTGTCAGTTGTGTGTAGCCCAGGCAGGAAAAAGAAAAGGGCAAGCAGCGTGCAGAGACTGTGGCGGAACAGAGGTGTGCGGAGTTTGGGAGAAGATGCGGGAGGGCATGGTTCAAGCTGGATGTAGCCAGCAAGCCCCACGGCCTCGCCTCTTAGGCTGACCCTGCTCCTCTGGTCTCCCCGGCCCTTCTTGCAAGGGCAGCTTCCACCTACTGGTATCTGTCCTAAGGTGAGATCATTCAGTGGGAACATGAGATCGTGTCTGCTCCTTATAACTATGTTCCCTTTCCCAACAATAAAGAATGACAGAAAATCCATATTTGGGATAATTACATCTTATAAATGAAATTGAAGGTTACATTGTATTGCTGGCATAAACAGCTTTTAAGCGGCTTAAGTATGTGATAGGATGGGCAGGATTTGTGTTCCCAGTACCTATAACCCACCAACAGTGAATACATCTACATTTTTTGTATGGAAAAAGGTAACTGGGTGCTGATACGATGTTGGTACAGCTAGGCCAGAGAAAAGCCTGTGGATGCAGGGCTGTCAGGAGGCATTAATCATTAGCCATGTGGGATGGGGCGGGGTACTGTCCCATAGCGAGTTTTACTTCTCTCTGCTATAGCCTAGAGTTTACAAGAGAATGCTGACTTCAGTTAAATATTCAGAGGAAAAAAAATAACTAGTGAAGTGGGGTAAATATGTCTCCATGAGATAATATTTTTTATTCTACTAGTGTGATCATTTCCATCCCAAGCTTTTTTTCCGTTCTTTTAACAGAAAAGAGATTAAACAGTTACTCTCTGAGTTGGATGAAGAGAAGAAGATCCGTCTACGATTGCAGGTACTTCCATTGTTTTTAATGCTGGGGATGTGTTGGCAGTTGATTCAGCCTGTCATGGGACATAAAACTCTGCTAAGATACTTAGATTCCAGTGAATCAAAAACTACCAATATTTCCGAAAGGGATATCTGTTCCCTTCATAGCATTACAAGTTTGTGTCATATATATTACAATATTGGGTTTTTACTGAAAAGCCTGATAATTATCCAAAAATTTATCAGCACAAGTAGACAAATTTTAAAAATTTAAACACAATACAAGACTCAAACTATGATTTATTTTTTTTTTCAGTTCAGTTTTAATTGTTTAATTTTGTCACAAATGAAATCATGCCTTTTTAAGTTACTTACTTTCTGCCAAAACTTTATATTTTGTAGTAGGCTTGTCTCGGTGCTTGGAATATTTCATATAGCAAGATTTTAATGTCTGCTTTACAGACTGACTCGGGTTATTTTTACTGAACATCCTGAGCAATATAAAAGAAGGGGCTCTGATTAAGAACCCATACTGCATAGTTTTTACAGTACCATAGCTCTAGATGTTGTGCTGGTTTAATAATTTACCAGGTATCCTGCTGCCCTGCTTGAGAGATTCATGGAGCTCAGACTTTGCTGGAATCATTAGCAATGCTGCTTTGATGTAGAATAATGTTGAAATGACTGCTTTTGGGGGTTTTAGAGAGTGATTTAAACAATGCCCTCAACAACCTGCTTTAACTTGGTCAGGCAGATGGACTAAAGGTTCATTATACACCCCTTCCAACCAAAATTGTTCTATTCTAATCTGTGCTATGTTCTTCTCTTCCATGTACCTGGTAAGTAGTTTTGTATTGATTGTATTTTATATTTTTATGGTATAGGGCAACTGTACTTCGATCTAGGGATAAAGTTGAATTGTAATTTCAGTAGACTGTTCCCTCTGTAAAGCACTTGGGAACATGGCAAAGCATGGCAGAACAGGGGATCCTCAATGTCTATGTACCAGGCCTGCCTAAAGGACTTTATGTGTCCAACCACATACCAACATGACTTCTAATAATACACAATTCTTGTTCAGCTAAAACTGAAATTTATTCAGATAAAACCCACTGAACATTTTTAATAGCCATTGTTTATTTAGTCTAACAGGCCAGATTATTCAGAGTTATCCAGAGATAACTTTACGTGTTTATGCAGAGACCTGCACGGATGGGTTTAAAATTATGATCTTACAGCTGAATGCTCTTACTCCAGTTCAAATATTGCTTATACTGGTAAATATTCAGATGCTAGCCAAGATGGCATTATTAGCTTTACATGAAGATGAGAGTCAACAACAAAAAAAGTGTCATTAATTTCAGAGTGCTCTGATAGACATGAAGTAGCACAGTTCTCAGCCCACACATTAAAGAGGACTGCCTTGACGATGGTGCAGTTGAACACAGGCTGAAACAGGTGGGTTTGAATAAACCTAGGACTCCTGCCTTAGTGTTTTAAGTGTCTGTCAGAGGGACCAAGTGTACAAGTGGAGCTGCTGATGGTTTCAGCCACATCCTTTTTAGCATGCCTGTACATTCTTCAGAGCCTTTAAGGTGCCTGGGCACAGGCTTGATGCTTGTAGAAGGCAACCACCATTCCTACAGCAAGAACCCTCCCTATAGGAGAGAGACAATGGGTTTGTGTCTCCACCTGTGACCGACAAGCTACCTGTGCTCGTTGCCAGCAGTGCAGTTTACTGTGCTGCAGCTGCTGGTGCAGGGACATGGTGCTCATTCTTCAGTAATGCCAGGCAGTGAGCTGTGTGGCTTGTAAATGTTGTCATTTAAAGAGATTGCAAGTGCATTCAATGATTATACTTGTCATGGTCTGAGGGAGGAAGCTATGAATGGTCATCTTACGCAGTTAAGAGGCACCTCAATTTGTGAAATCTATGGAAAGAAGAGTGGTATAAAACCTGTAGTTGACACCTGTGGACAAGAGGGAATGTGCTTTTTAAGTGGCACCAACTGTGCCTCAGTTTGCTAAAGAATTGTATTTAATCAAATACTTTTTCTTCTGTTTGTTTTTAGATGGAAGTTAATGACATAAAGAAAGCTCTTCAATCAAAGTGAATACTTGATAGGTGGAATGTTGCATTATTTTTCATGACTGAGACTCAAATTTTTGCCCCAGCCAAAATAACTTTGTGCCAAATGATTTAAGAATTGCCTCAACATCCATTTATCTGAAGGATTAGCACAACAGTTTTTGATAGCACAACAAAAATACCAACAAGAACAAAATTTCTACCCAAAGCCGTGCTGTACGGCACTAGTTGTGACTGAAATTGATCTTGTGCTAAAGGCTCTCTACTTCAAGATCCTAGGTAAAATGAAAACTCAGGCAGTTTAGTCCATAGTGGTACTATTTTGATGATATTTTTCCATAAATAAAGTGTATTTCAGATTATCTGTTTACAAGCTTTATGATTTTGACTTTTGGTTTTTAATTGTCTTTTGTCACAGAATTTAAAATGTTTGTACTTCATATAGCCAGGAATGAATGTTAATGTTGGGGCTGGAGGGATTATTTTTGCTTCGAGATTGAACAGCCTACTTTTTGTTATGGTTTTAAGTTCTGTTAAATATGCAATTTTATGTGCCCGAATCCCCTACAACTTAAATTTACATTGTGTACAGTAATGTATTTACAAGAAGGAAACAAACCAACAGAAGTCTGGTCTTTGCAATGATTTGTGCCTTTCTTTGCCACACACTGACTGGAGCTGGTTGAGGCCAGGTCTCCCTATGTAGCTAGCACGATGACTCCTGTCCCCGGTCCGGCGGAGGTCACCTTCCCAGCTGCTCGGTCAGGAGAGCGCATTTGTGCCAGGTGGCAGGACAAAAGGGCACAGCTGAGAGCAGCTTTGTCTTGAGCAGCTGTGGCTTTTTAGCTTTCCTGGTTTGGATAGGCCTCTCCCTCAACCTGAATGTTCATCTCCGCTTGATTTTCATTAGATGATTTAAACACCCACCTCTGTCCCCAATTTTGCACAGAGTGAACAGAATATGCATTATTAAAGCAAAAATAAATAAAAGTAATCTATAAAACATAAATAAAAAGTTGTATTATTTCATGCACAAGGTTCTCTGTCGTGTGACAGTGTTTCATTTGCTGTTGACATGATATTGTTTGCTACATAATGTTGTACACTTACAGACTGACACACTTCATAGTCCTACTTTTGCAGCAGTAGGACTTTGAGCAGTAGGACTAAGAAACAAAAAGTTTCTTCTCAACATTTTGTTGAACCTGATGCTTACTTCAGTTTCTCTGTTTGCTTTCATTCTTTCAAAATTTCACATTTTCCTGGTTGTGGTTTCATGTGTTCTTCACTCCACAGAGTATCTCATATTTTGTCAGCAATCTCTTTAAGTTTATAAAGTGTTTAAAAATAGGTATTTTTGCATAGCATGGAGTGAGTGGGTAAGTGATGTTGGTGATACCTTAAAGTAACAAAACCCCACACACAAAGGATCTACTTGTCATCCCATCAAATGCTAGAGCTGGCTCCAGCAGCACACCCTGTATCAACATGAACCACCCTTCTTGCCAGGAGCTGAGTGAGATGTAGTATGCTGTTGGCTGGTCACATTCACATATGGTTGGCAGAGTTCCCATAATCTTTTTGATATGCACAAATATATAAAATACACACTCCACCACGCCCCAATCCATCTTTATGGGTCTCAACTGGCAGTACACAACCTGACTGTTGAGATGATTTTTTCTTCCAGAGCATCTGCTTCTATTGTAACAGTGGTGTCTGAGATTTAGAGATTGGGTAGTTAAACTTGAGAATTTTTTTTTTAAAGTCACAATACATCGCTCAGTGTACTCAAACAGAAACACTAATAAAATATTTTATCACTGAAATGCTCTTATGTAACATTTCTAAATATCTACATTAAAATATTTTTCTACAAAGAATGAGAGTCCTGCCATAGCTTTCCAGCAATATGGATTTCTACATTACTTCCATGGTTTTTGTAAAGCTAGTAGTAGAGTTAGAAAAACAGAAGGAAATGAAGGGATAAGGAATAAGAATTCTGTTTGGGTTTGTAGTTGTACATTTGCTATATTTATCCAGAAATTAACTGCTCTGGATTTTTAATTCCCTGGAAAGAAATACTACTATATCTGTGGTAAATAAAGTATTGATTCCTGAGCTGTGCCACACAAATATATCAGATTTCTCTGATACATATATATATATAAAGATATAAAGAAGTGTCCATCTTTAGAAAATGAAAGTCTGAATTTGGAACTAGATTCCAAAAGAAAAAAAAACTGTAGAAATACAAGCTCTCCTTTCTACATTTCATTATAATAATACAAAGTATTTTGCATAAGACATGGATTTCCCCTTTTTAAAGAATATCAAATATGCATTAAACATGTGGATATAAACTATTGCTTTTAAAAGTGTTTGGTTTTATATTTAAAGAAAATCAGAAAACACTGGTGAGGTACAAAGTGATTTTGTTGTGAAAGTGATTAAATATTGTTGTTTGAAGAGTTGTGTAAATTGACTTTTCATTAACATGCACATACCAGTCCTGTACCAGACTTCTGTTTATGTAGAGAAGTCGGGTGTGAAATATCAGGCTCATACCTTTGGACGATAATATCCAAATTCTTGATTCAGTAAATTTTTGGTTATTAAGAGAACAGTTTTTTGTTCTCTTTTTATTCTTCTTTCATTTCTAAAAGGATCAAATATTTCTTAATGTGAGATCATAGCACTTAGAATTTAAAAAAAAAGTTATACGTGGGAGTAAGATGGCAAATACTTGAAAGTGTATTTTAAATTTCATCATCTGTGTTTTTTTTGTTAATTCATTTGTGAATCAGCAAAAGGTTCAGATGAATTTTTTGTTATGCTAACAGGTCAAAGGACTGTACACAACTCTCTGCAATAATTTTTATGGGCTAATTTGTGTAAGAAATGTCAATGAGCGCCACACTGTGACAGCCAGGAGTGACATTTGTACCTATGAAACAAGGTGAGACAGTGCTATAAAGCACTCTCAGAAGTTTGTGCTTTGCTGAAGTCACAGAATCCTTTCCCTCCTCTTCTTGTGGAGCTGACTGGGGTGGGCGCAGGCCCTGCTGCTCCCTCATGCCAGGCTGTCTGGCTGTGTGTGGAACCTGTGGCACAGACATGGCTTTGCTGCTGCAGGGCTGGCATGGCTGAAGGTGTCTGGTGTTCCTGTGCTTTCCTTGGCCATGCCACATCACATGTCCACACTTTTAGCCTGTGTCAGGCGTTTATGCTCCAGGGCCCTGCCTTGGGAGCAGGGGGCAGCAGTTGGAGGCTCTGCGGTTCAGGGGCTCACAAACACCAAGCACCACAAGCCAAGGAGAGAGTGTGGCTGGCTGGGGGTGATGGGCAGTGCTCCTGCTCGCAGGAATGTTCAGCAGTCTCTGCAGGGCCAGGAAGAGCTGTGAGGACTCCAATGTCTGCTTCTCCTCTGTATAAGGACCCTGGGGCTGGACACTCATATCAAGAGGCTCATTGATGAGGAAAGCGTGAAGGCTGCTGAGAAAGATGATACCTTTCATACAGGAGAGCTGTGGTTCGAAAGCAGCAGGAATGTTGTTTAAAGCAGAAACATCTACTTTACAGCTTGGCACTGAGGAGGCTTTTCAACTGTGGGGGTGGCGGCAGTGCTGCTGGGCACCAGCAATTCCCATAGGCTTTGGCGAGGACAGGGACCTCCAAGCATTGACTTCTGCTCATTGCAATCCTAAATTAAAAAGAGCCAGAAGAGCTGAATTCCCCACACAAAATATTGGGTAATTGTATCCATGGTTATTAATACCCTTCAGCCAGAACTTAGATTTTGCTTGGCACCTTTTGCCTCAGCTGACTCGAGCTGGCCCAGGAATTAGCAGCTGTTTGTTGTGACCCGGCCCAGTCACCCCCAGCATCCTGCAGCTGCTTCCCTCCTCCTGAGCTGTAGCCTCCCCGCACCAGCCATGCCCTGCCTTTGGAAAATAACCAGCTTCTTCAGGTCACCACATCTGAAGGTGAGAGGGTGCGAGCGCTTCCCAGCCTGGAAAAGAGCAACTGAGGAAGCAAAAGACACCATTTAAATGCCGTCAGGAAGCTGCGGTGCTGTGTGGGCGCCAGGGAATGAGCGGCCTCGGTACCGCCAGCCCTGCGACGGCCCTGGGCCATCGTCCCCTCTGCTTTCTACTCAGGGAACAAAGCTTACTGCACCCCTTGCTGTTCTCTCTTTTGATGAAGGTGATTCCAATCTAATGCAGACACGAACTTTCAGAGGTAGTGAGTGTAAACCACAGGTGGCCTCAGGAAGAGACGCTTGAGAGACTTTCTTTATGCTGCCTCAGTCAGGCTTTTCTTGAGCCAATGGTGCAGCTGAGTTACCCCTTGAAGTGCTCACAGTTCCACTATTGAACAGCGTGAGGGGCTGGAATGCAAATAGCTGAACTAACAAAATGGCTCCTATGAACTTTTATTTAAAGTATTAGAAATTAAATCATATTATTAAATGTGTTAGCAATGTAAGATGAAAAAATTTAAGATGCAAATTAATTTTATTGAATTGTTACCCTACAAACTGGAGTGCTTAGTATATTTTAGCAAGATATTTAACTATAATTCTAGAAAAATCACTAGATTAATGAGAGTAGTTGTCCTGGTACACTGTAAAGGCTACAAAAGAGGGGGAAGGCCTACCAATCCCTCTCGGCCCCCTCGGATAAGTAGGTTTTGAGCTCTATTATCTTCCCTTTTTTCTTGTAGGAAAAGCAACTGGAGAATATAGCTGATGATAATCACAGGAAAACAAAATTGCCATTTATCAGTGTGATCTTAAAACATCTAATAGGCTGTTTATTGGAGGAGAAAACTTGAAAATTAGAACACCAAAGGAAATTAGATAAGAATGAGCAGACTTCAAAACCAGTTTTGAATATCAGGACATTAAAGAAACATCTGTTCACAAAACTGTCTCTGGTAAAACCCCTTCACTTCATTGAGCCAGAGACAGCATTTTCACTTGGTATGGGAGATCATATTCCTCAGTACAATAAGCCCTTCCCTATGTCCTTCATCCCAGCTAGCAAACATCCTTTTAGCAAAGGGACTCATCAGGCTGCTCTTCACCTCCTCGGGTAACAGTTTGGGATTTTGTGAAAGCACTTCTTGGACTTATCTTAGAGCAAGTGAAAATTAAGCTGGGCAGCTGTCCCTGCCACAGGATGACCCATTACCTGGGTTTACCCCCTTCCAGGTATGGTTTTCATTGCAAAGGGCACACCAAGTAAAGGAGAAAACTCAATCACACAATTTGTACACCATGCTCTTTCTCCTAGCACAGAGCACCAAGCAGAGAACAACAGCTAATGCAGGATAAGTAGAAAAGAAGGTGCACTTGCATGGAAATTGCTACTGCTAGATAATTTGGCTGCTCTGGATTCAAAAAGCCAAATCTATTGAGCTCAGCCAAATTTACTCTTGGAAGCACAGATGCAGCTATTTAGCAAATAAAAGTACTAGGTAGGGGGAAACATGATGTAAATTTTGAGACCCGAGCAAAAACAGTGCTGGCTGGAGAAAGCTACCTCATTAATGTTTGGCATGTTTCTTGTGGGAGGTGCAGGTTGTTTGTGCCGTGATTACACAGTTGTGCCTGGTGTGTCACTGATCTCAGGGGAATGGAAAACTGATGCTCTAATCCAAAGAACCTGCACACCTCAGAAATAAGTTATGTAACCTGTGCTGGGGGAGCTCTTAACACAAGAAGGATGTCACATTACTGCAATAACTACAGACTTCAATATTGGACTTGATCTAATTCAGATATATTGAAGTCAGTAAGACTGAATCAGTCTAAGTGCTGATTTAAAGCTCACAGATGTCACCAGTGTGCTCTCTCCAGCTGGGTGCAAGTCTGGGGTAAGTCTGAATTCTCCTATCCCCGTTTTTACTCACTTTCTGTATGCCCTGACTCTCAGGCCTCATGCTTTCTCAGTCTACCCCTGCATAATTGTAAAAAGCAGCAATCTCAGACTCTAAATTTTGTCTTGTCCCAAATATGACACCTTCCTTTGCTAGG